CTTGAATAGTTTGGAAAGCAGAAGAAAGCATAAATATATAGCTGAGAGTCTGATGTCAGCACTTGACTGATTTAAAGCATGCCACCAAAAGTTAAGTTATTTCTAGAATTTTAAGTGGTTTGGACACTAAACAGAATTTGGCACCCCATTTAGGAGTATTACAGTACATGCATTTTAGTCCTGTGTATGTGGTGCTGGAGCTCACCTTTTAAAATGAGTCCACAGAATTAGAGAGCAATTACTTTCCAGGTTAGTGAAATGGAACATTGTGCTCTACTAAAACTAATGATTATACATGATTTGCTAGTCTATAAGCTTTTCACATAAGTGATTAAGGAGATGAATTATATTCATACCCCGGAGTTGAAGTAATTAGCTGCTATTTTGTAGAGTTCACCACTACCACAAAAGATTCTTTATTACATTAAAGTTTACAACTGGTTCGTACTTCTACATCTTCCCTTATGACAAAACTTAAAATATTGCATTTGATGTTTTCCAGTGGCAGTTTTGTGGAAATTCTGAATTTTATACCCTAAAATGTGGTAGAGCATTCAGCTCTCTACACACATTTGTTTGAGGAGTGAGCTACAACATGCGAAATATGAGATTAATGTATTGTATTTATTAACTGTTAACACAGCAGTTGACCCTTTGCTAACAACATTCATACTGCCATAGTTTCCCCTCACTGCAGAAAGTTCCTGAATAGGCCTTAATATTGTAAAATGTTTTCTTTGTTGGAAATAACATTGAAAACTATAGTTTAATGCAGCTCAGACAGTTGCAGGCATTTTTACCATCCTGTCATTCAATATTATATGCACATACATATTTTTGAATGACATTAATTCATAAACAAAAGGCAGATATCCGAAGAGGGGATCCAAGATGGATCCTGACACACTCTTTTCTCCCCACCCACTTCCTTATTGAAAATCTTTCTTTTCATATCCCTGAAAACTGTGCAGAACCTTCCTTATAGTTAGTTGTTCCTAGTGTAATTTCATCTCTTAGTATGATGGGTAACGTAAGACCAGGAACAATGTGAGACTGAGCACATTGAACATATATTAAGAAGACTGCGTAAAATGCAAATTGAATTTCAAAAACTCATTGACTAGGCAGGCTTTGCAGGTATTTCCAACAGATACATAATGTTTCTTATCCCTGAAGATTTATAGCCTCTCTGAAGAGGAGCAGCTATGTATTTGAGGTTTGGTTAACAGAATAGATAATAGCAAGTTTCCATGGGATACTGGAGCAGTCTCTGTCTTCAGGGAGCTCAGACCCCCGACACCTCCCCTCCCTTCCCCCATGTGGGCCTGCCATGAACAGAGGCTGCTTGTGGCAGTCTCCCCTGGCACCCTTCTCACCCCCGTGCTGCTTCCTCTATCAGTTGGGAGAGGGGTATGCAATACTGCAGAGCTGGTGCTGGAGTGAGCTAGCTCCTGCCTACACCCCCTCCGCTGCCTTTTGTAGGAGGTAGCAAGAGGGGGCAGGTGGGTCTGCGGAACCAGCACATGCAAAGAACCAGCTTTAAAGTCGGCTCCTTGTGTGTATTGGCTCCTACCTGTCTCCCCTCACCTTCCATGCTACTGTTTATCTATCTGAGGTAGCAGCGTGCGGGGGTGGGAGGGGGGGGATGGCTTAAAAGCTGGTTCCCCATGGGCACTGGCTCTCAACTCCCTCCCCCACTTGCTGCCTCTGATGCAAAGGAAGGGGAAGAATGCATGTAGTCAACGGGATTAATGGATAAGACTAGGCTTATTGGTTAATTGTGTAGTTGTCTACAAGTTGACATCCCTATTACTAACTCCATTTGGTTTACTATTCTCATAGTGGAGGAAATGGAGAACTATGTAGAAGGAAAGAATGGGTGCAATGTGAAGATTGGGAAATGGGATGTTTAATTTTTTTTTAAATAATCCATGAGCAGAAATCTTTAAGAATGTTTTGAACATTGGATTTTAACCTCTAAGTACAGTACTTTGAGACGAGTGAAAAAAATCTCACAACCGTTTTGTGTTTATTGCCCTTTGATATTAGTACTACAAAACAAGAAGCCACATTTAGTAATCCACTTCATCAAATTTTTAGATATAGAAGTTGTTTTTGTGTTTTTATTTAGGTAGCTTTAGACAGCAGAGGTAGAGGATATTGAATGGCAGAGGTGGCAACATGACCATCAACAATTATCACTGTGAAACAAATACTTTGCTAACCTACTTTTTTTTGTGATGGGACAAATGAAACTTGAGGTGAAAATAATTAAATTACCCGACTATTCCAAATGAGGGAATGAAAATAAATGTAAAGTGGAAATTCAGGTATATGTAACTTATATCCAGGAAAATGTACTTAAATGAAATGCATTTTGATATTTTTCCTTTAGCCCTGGTGTGCAACACTCCAGGACTATTCCTAAAATACCTAATATGAGATAGGAGTTTGTCTCAGACTAGCCCATTTGTTTTTTGGCAAAGGGAAATGCTTTCTTACTGTTTCTAGCATGCTATCAACCAAGCCAATATTTGGATGTAGTTTTGACTTTGGAACTAGAAGAAATCGCTTCATCAGATGCTGTCAGAAGGGTGAGGTAAGACAGTTTAAAATGAGAGGAATTTGAAATGGGACTGAGTAATATTATCTACTTTCTTAAAGCAAATGTTCAGTAACAGTGCATTGTTGTTTTCCATGTTTATGAAAAAATGTGATCTACATACTCTGTTTTCTGCATGATGTTGATAGCAATTCGTTACTGTTGTGGGGATGAAATATTACATTGCTGACTAACTACATGATTATTACTGTATGAACTAATAGTTTTATTTTCATTTTGTTCACTTATGTAATTGAAAAGTTAAACTCAGTAGATATGATAGACCTCACTTAAAGTTTTTTAAAAATTGGTGTTTCTGTGTATGCATTGTAATAACTTTCTGAAAAACTAATTTTTGATATTTTGAATATATGTTGCTAATTATAAAGGGCTTGACAGTCTGCGCTTTAGAGGATTTTGAAAAGGACACTTACAGATAATTTAATTCTCTGAAAAATATAGAACTGTATTAAGCCTAATATGACTTCCCTAAAGCAAGTTAGATCATCAGTCTTTGACTGTTAAGTTATAACACTTTATGAAATAAACAGGACTGCTTTAAAATCATGGAAACATTCCACTACGAGGCTATTCCTGTTCGTTCTTATGAAAAAAACATCCTTTAAATGTGCTACAGGAAGGTGTCATGTCACCCTCACTCACAATATTTATAGAAGAAACTCTGTAGCTGCTCTTAATAAGTCAGAGTCATGTTTGGTTTAATACGCCTTTACATTAAAAGAGACAGGAGGAGAGAGATGAAACTGAAAAATAGATGACTATCCAGTACCAGTCTAAAGTTCTATAGGTGATAGGGTTTGACAAACATACTTGCAATGCTTAGATTGTCATTAACGTAGTGCCCTACTTATTTTTAATATAGTACTTCTGAAAGAGGTACTTGTATAGAATGAAGGTAAAGGGAAAATATTGTGGTCCTGGATCGCTGTGGGCATTGTCTAAACATAAATTTTTTTAGTATAACAGTGTAACGCTTTCTCTCTCCTGTTATAAGTGTGCCTTTTTCAGTTTAGCTTCTCTCTCCCTTGAGAAGTGGAGATAAGTTAAACTGAAAAAAAAAAGTCTTTTTATACTCTGCCAGAATAAGAGTCTCTATTGTAGAATGATTCTACTGGTATAGTTGGTAAAACTTTCCAGCAAAGAAATGGCCATATAGAACTCCTCTTGTGTTTCATTGACAGATACAATAGCTTTTTCAGGAATTTCTTTCAACTTCTCTGATAATGAGTGGGTGGTTTTTTTTTTTTCATTAAGATGGAGTCTAGGTATTTTTGAAATCACTAAAAAGATGCATCTGAGGTTTAAAGTTTTTCATTTAAAAATGTATTATGATGAAGGGGTACAGGATTTGTCAACAGTTTTGTAGCCGATATTTTGATGTTGATGATGATATTTAAATCTCTTAATTTTTTGAAACATAGAATAAAAAAATTGCTTTTCTTTATTTCTTACATTAATGAAGGGTGGCTCTTTTTCAGATGACTTCTTGCGTTTCTATTTTTAAATACAAATCAAAGACTGAGGCCTTGCTTTTTCTTTTGGAATATTCCTGATTCAGCAATTCAGAGTCTGTCAGTTTTGCTAAGAGAAGTAATGCCAATGCATCTTTGCATAAGTTTAAGGGTCAAAACAAATGCATCTTCCCTGATTGGGAGACAGCTGGTCATCAATCAGAGATATTCCTGAATGTAAGACAAGGCCTCTCTGAGTTGATATGTAAATAAATACCACACAATTAATAATAAACACTTTCTGAAAAGTTCAGAACTTACCATGAAACTTAATAGATGCTGCAGACTGTGTCAAGCCCTTAGTTGTAACTTTCTAATTCTGTATATGTAACTTTTTATAATTTTGTTGCATTCACTAGGTTTGCTGGGATGGGTAATCTTCTTAAGGTCCTTACCAGGGAAATTGAAAACTATCCACATTTTTTCCTGGATTTTGAAAGTAAGTTTTAAAAATTACAAAACAATGAGTGAATCTTTTCCATTAATTTAAAGCTGGCTGAGAACTTTTTCATGATTGAATATAGTGACAAGTTTCCAGCAGTCGGACTATCTAAATCTGTGTCTCCAAGATCATTCACTCAAGATGCGCTTTCTATTTCTTTTTCAGTAACAAGAAATAAAACCTTCAAAACTATTCATTTGCATGGAACTAGGTCAGGGGCCAATTTTTTTCCTTGACTTTGAAAATGAATATAGCTTTTTGTCTGGTTTGCTGCCTTATTCCTAATAAAATATGGATTTATGCAGCATGTAATATTTCAAGAGATTTGCAAATAGATTAATTTATGCTTCCGTTTTAATATTGAATTCCGATGCTTGTGAAGTATTTTACTATAAAATAGCTAAATTCTTGTTGGGCAAAGAGTATAAATGTAAGAGTAAAGTCTTAAATTGATTTCAATATATATATACTATCAATCCTGAAAGTAGATGCACACATACTAATGTTTCTGATGAAAAACCTTCATTTGCCTTAAGCAATATTTTCTTTTATTATTTCATTATATGAAGGGTGTGTTTTTTAAATGGACCAAATATATCCATAATTAGAACACATGCCACTTTTATTTGCATTATTCAATACTGATTGAACTGGGTTATTTTTATAACTTCTAAAACACAACTATGGTCTGTATATCTGCTTTATTGCAACTCTTTGTCAGATGTCTGTCAGCTTGCAAAATGTAATGTGTTGCATGTTAATTTCTTAACTACATATGTACCTTGATGCAAGATTTTTGTGTGTGTTTTGTTTTTGTTTTTGCTGGTTGGTTTTGCTGCATGTATTCTAGACATTCATTTCAAAATTGGCCATCAAATTGTTTAAGATAGATTGAATCTTAATTCTGTTACTTATGTGAAATGCCTTTTTAAATGATACCAATGTATGTTGGCATGGCTTTTTTTCTTGGAAGAGTATTTAAATACATTCCTTGAGCATGGTACTGGCAGAAATAATTAATTACATACTTCTATCAAATTTGAAAGAATGAAAAGGGGATTTTCAGATTGAATCCAAATGTGTACTTATCTTAAAATACTCCGCTTGAAGAATCTGATACTCACCTTTTTTCTAAAGTCATATTTTTTAAAAATTCAATTTTTTTAAGTGATTTTTCAAAGTGATTAGTTAGAATACTTAACAAAAAAACAGATTTATACTCTCAGGTTAACATATTCTTAAATCAATGCCCGTTCAAGAAACTACTTGAGCATGCTTTTGTGAATTGAGGCTACAGCTTGGAAATAGTATTATTTGGACATACAGTACTTTCCCTCCTACACCTTGATTTAATACAGTATAAAGAATCCTGCTGATACTACTTGTAGAATTTAATCTGTTAGCTGCAATAAATAAATACATACAAAGATTGGCGTTTATAAACCTTGTATCTTTCTTTCCTTTGTCCAAATCTTGTGAATACTTTTTATTGTAAAACAGGTGTCAAACTTTTGTCCCAGATACTGTAATCTGGTCTACCAAACTTCAGAGTACAGGCAGTCCCCGGGTTACGTACAAGATAGGGAATGTAGGTTTGTTCTTAAGTTGAATTTGTATGTAAGTCGGAACTGGTACATATTGTACCCCAGGTGTCCCTGATTCAGCCGCTGCTGAAACTGACCAGCGGCTGACTACAGGAAGCTCAAGGCAGAGCTGCTTTGCCCCAGGCTTCCTGGAATCAGCTGCTGATCAGTTTCAGCAGCAGCTGACTTTGGGACACCTGGGTTTCTTAAGTTGAATCCATATGTAAGTCAGAACTGGCATCCAGATTCAGCCGCTGTTGAACTGATCAGTTTCAGCAGCGGCTGACACCAGTTCCGACTTACATACAGATTCAACTTAAGAACAAACCTACAGTCCCTATCTTGTACGTAACCCGGGGACTGCCTAAGATATACAGGCATAAGAAAAGAGTTCCAATCAAGAGTAAGGGTTAGAGATAACGAGGTCAATTCAGTCAGGGAGGATGAGGCCTATTTCTAGCAGCTGATGTGGAGGTGTGAACACCAAGAGAGGAAAAACTGCTTTTGTAGTTGGCTAGCCATTCACAGTCTTTGTTTTATCTTAAACTGATAGTGTCAAATTTGCAGATGAATTGTAACCCTGCAGTTTCTCTTTGAAGTCTGTTTTTAAAGTTTTGTTGTTGTTGTTGTTGCAGGATGGCTACTTTTAAGTCTGTTACTGTGCGTCCAGGAAGATTGAAGTGTTCTCCTAAAGGTTTTTGTGTATTGCCATTCCTGATATCTGATTTATGTCCATTCCCTGGTCTGCTGACCAGGGAGACGCAGAGCAGCTTTTCTTGCTGCGGAGGACGCGGGCGGCGGGACCGCCGTGGCGCGTCTCGGTGGTCTGCTAGCGGGGTGGGCTGCAGCTAGTTCGGGGTTTCCTCACCCCGTTCTTAAGTAGGGATCTGACATAAGTCGGATCCACGTAACCCGTGGACTGCCTGTATTCTAATTGAGCTCTATACCTGCCTTTGTTTTTATAAAGGCCTTTTACTGCCTTTAGGATGAACTGTTTAATCAGTACCATCATGTCATGGATTGGAAAAAAGGTACTTCTGCCAGAACTGCAGACTCGGCAGGTGGTCTGGCTGCAGTAGGCCTTTAAGGAAAAAAATATCTATTTTAATATCTTGGCTCTGGAGCTGGATTTTCCTGAAATACATTGCCAACAAGAAATGAAATGGGGTAACACAGAGAACACCCATTCCCTGAGGACAGCAACAAACAATAATTCTAGGCATATGCACACATTTGTCTGGCACTCCCAATTATTGACAAGCCAAAGTGACTACAAATTTTAATTTGTTTGATACTGCTGAGTGAAAGTTTAAAAATGTTATGGTTTTGTTACTACTGTTACAATCATGTAGTCTTTATTGGATCAAGTCTAAAATGTATCAAATAGGTACAACAGAAGAGTCCCTTAGCTGCATGATTTGATGTACATTATTTACCCCATTATAGCATAAAAAGAGGCTTTTATACTAATGTACATGCATAATAATGTACTTAAATACTTTGTTGGGCTTGTTTTGTAGTTTTAGGTTTAAGTAAATTAAAATGCCACCAAAGCTGATACTTCAGAAGGCATTTCTACACAATAACCAGTGCCCTTCAATTTACTGTCTTTTGCATTGTTGAATTTTGTTTGAGGGAGCTTGCAAACTGTAAAATTACTGCAAACTCATCCACCGTAGTTCTGGACTTGGGAGGTGGCCCCATTTATTTTGATACTCAGTGAAACAAGATATTACCCTTAGTCGGAATCCCCTCACTTAGACCCACCCAAGGAATTCCAAGATACAGGCAGTCCCCGGGTTACATGGATCCGACTTACATCGGATCCCTACTTACAAACGGGGTGAAGCAACCCCGCACTAGCTGCTTCCCCCCAGCAGACCAGGGAGACGCGAAGCTAGTGCCTCCCCCAGCAGACCAGGGAGACGCGGAGCGGCTTTTCTCAGCAGACACCTCAGCTTGAGAATAAAGGGCTGAGGAAAGTGAGGTATGGGAGAATAAAACTGAGCTCTGGAGAAATGTTTGGCTAGAGTTTCACCTACAATATGTACCAGTTTCGACTTACATACAAATTCAACTTAAGAACAAACCTACAGTCCCTATCTTGTACGTAACCCGGGGACTGCCTGTATATGCCTTGATTCTGCAAGCACTTATGTTCATACTTAAGTTTAAATAATCCTGTCAGTTTTATGGGACTACTCTAATAGTGGTAAATGCATTCATAAATGTTAGAGGATTGGGGCTATATTGAGTATGCTTTTGTTCCATGTTCATTAAATGACCACCTCTGATTTGCAACCAGTTGTTGTTGGTCCCTTACAGTGAAAACAATCTTACTCATGTATTTCAATAATAAGATAATTTTCACTCAAAATATAAATATAAACAAGAAAAATAGAACTATCAAATTAACACATGCACCTCCTTACAGTTTCTGTGCTCCCTCCCCCCTCATTGTATATGAAAGGACTTGTATGATACATGTTTTATGAATATATAGTATATATTACAGCTGTTTTTCAAAATAATATAATTTTACATCTGAAAATAGTTGTGTTCAATAATCTTTCAAATTCTTATGAAGTTGAAATGTTTATATTATGGAAGTCAGAACTATTTTCACACTTGGTTGTGTGTTGCAAACACAGGCTCTGTGTCTCAGACCTTCCTGCTTGTCACAGGTGCACAATAGAAAAGTGATGATTAAAGTGATCATTAAAGGTCTCAAAAATATGACCGATGAGGGAAGACTGAAAGAATTGGGTTTGTTTAGTTTAGAAAAGAGAAGACTGAAACGGGACATGATAAGTTTTCAAGTATCTAAAAGTATGTGTCAAGGAGGTGGGAGAAAAATTGTTCTCCTTGGCCTCCGATAATAGGAAAAACTGCATTTTAAGCCCATTGCTTCAAGGGAGGTTTAGGTTGGATATTAGGAAAAACTTCCTAATTGTCAGGGTGGTTAAACACTGGAATAAATAGCTAAACGAGGTTGTGAAATCTCCATCACTGGAGATATTTAAGAGCAGGTTGGATAGACATCTATCAGGGATGATCTAGGTGATGTTTGATCCAGCCATGAGGGCAGGGGACTGGAATTGATGATCTCTTGAGGTCCCTTCCAGTTGTTGGAGTCTATGATGTGTCTGACTGGTTTGAATATAGCATGTATCCACACAGTGAATGTATATTCTTATCTTTAGATGTATAGTTCTTAAAGTGAGATTACTGTGTAACAGCCAATAAAAACAGTTTGTATTTTCAGGGCCGTCCTACATATCTGATATGTAATTTTAAAAGTGCCGAGACTTCAACAAGTGTGACCATATTCTTCTGCTTTTGAGATTATAATGAAAATCAGTATGGAAGGGCTATAAATATTGTCTTTTGGTTACTTTGATGTTAATTTAAATG